CCCCGCTTGCAGCGATGGGAACGGAGCGGGCGGCGCTGCCCGGGGATGTAGGGGCTGCGCAGACCCCGATCCCCGCCCTGCTCACCCCCGAGCCCGCTGCGGGAGAGGGAGGTGCGGGTATCGCCGCCCTTCGCGGCGGGACTGCCCCGGCGCGGCTGCTCCGGGGACTCTCCGAGTTATCGGAGCGTGTCGGAAGGAAGCCGGGAAGCGAGCTGAAAAAGTCCCCGAGCTGCGGCTCTGGGAGATGCCCTCGCTAGCAATAATTACAGCCGTGCTCTCCACCAACATGGCGATATTTCATGTGCAGCCGCCGACAAGCCCGCCTCCCCACCCCCTTCTTTCCCTCTCCTCCCTCCCTTGCGAACTTTTAGATAGGCGGTAGCAGTATGCAAGGAATATAACACAGAATAAAAGAATCTCCAACCCCTAGGGAAGAGACGGACCTCCTCTAGTATTCTGTCTGATTTTCATCATCAGTCATAAAGACTTAAAAACCACTCGAGAAACCGCCTTTTGCCCTAAAGCGGTAACAACACCCGCTTCCACCACCTCCCCTATTTCTCCCGTGCACATTCAGTGCGTGTGCCTATGAGTGCGTGTGCGTGTGTGTGTGTGTGCGTGTGTGTGTGTGTGTGTGTGTGCACGCCGGGCTGTCTGCGCTTGTTTCGGAGTAACCCTTCCCCCGCCGTCTGGCTCCCTAGTAGGCTACTGCCCTGTCCTGGCAAGTCCATTTAAAGACGAGGCTATTTAATACCCAGAAGCACTTGAGCGATAGGATACAGCCGTCAAGGTAGGACGTGGGGTGTGCGAAGAGAATTTGCCTCAAACTCCTCCATTAGTAAAGAAAACGCACAGCACAGATTTTGATGAGAATTACTTTAAGAAAGGGGCTGGGGAGGGATGGAGGAGAGGGAGCTGATCAATGCCATGTGTCGAGGAAACAGAAAAGGGAGCCGAAATGCCTCGGGCTTGGCTTCCCCCTCACCCCTGGCTGAGGGTGGCTTGTATTTGCTCGGCCGTACCTCAAAAGCTGAATCACTCGCCATTAGCTCCGCGCCTCCTTCGCCCTTCGCTTGGGGGGGCTAAACTACTCCCGACTTCAAAGGCTCCATAAAGCCGTACCGAGGAGCCCCGGCGAGGGGCAGCCCAGCCGCGGTGCGCTCGGCGCAGCTCCTGGAGAGAGCCCCGCACTCGCCCTGCTCTCCGCCCCCAAAGGGGCTCCGGAGAGTCCCCGCGGGTGGACAGCCCGGAGCGGAGCGGAGCCGAACCGAACCGAGCCGAGCCGGGCCGAGCCGAGCCGAGCCGAGCCGAGCCGAGCCGGGCCGAGCCGGGCCGAACTGAGCCCAGCCGAGCCGAGCCGAGCCGAGCCGGGCCGAGCCGAGCCGAGCCGCGCCGCCTGCCCGCTCGCTCGGAGAACTTGTGCCCTCACCTATGGGGAGGGATGGGGGTGGGGAGCGAGCATGGAAGGGGGAGCGCAGGTAGCCCGGAGTTTCTTATGGGACCCAGCAAGAAGAAAGGAGTTAAAAACGAGACCCCACTCCTCTTCCCGGGGGCCAGGGACTGCTCTACGTCCCCAGGATGGAGGGGAGGGAGCCCGGGTTCCAGCCGGCCGGAAAGAAGAGGGTGTGACACGGGTCAGTCCCGCGGGCAGAGSCTGCATACCGGGCTCGGAGCAGGGGCTCCTCTGAAGTAAAGTCTGCCAGCAGCCCCCAGCTGGTCCCGAGGGATGAAAGGATCAGGAGCCCCGTAGAGTACAAAGACAAATGAACAACCTTTTTTTAAAGGCCCTTCTAGGTATTTTTTTTACTTTTAAAGATTTCTTTCTTTCTTTCTTTCTTTCTTTCTTTCTTTCTTTCTTTCTTTCTTTCTTTCTTTCTTTCTTTCTTTCTTTCTTTCTTTCTTTCTTTCTTTCTTTCTTTCTTTCTTTCTTTCCTCTCTTTCTCTCTCTCTTTCTTTCTTTCTCTCTTTCTCTCTCTCTTTCTCTCTCTCTTTCTCTCTTTCTTTCTCTCTTTCTTTCACTTTCCTTTTATTTTTAGGAATAAAAGGAAAATGCATACTTTTCAGAGCTCTTATTTGAGCATGATTTGCATCTCCTTCATGAAACTGATGGACAACCAGTGCATTTTCTGGCTAAAAAACACCCCTCTTTCTCACGCTCAGTCCACCTGTCTTTCTGTTTTCCACGTCCCCGATACTAGCAACCTGTCATCAGCATAGAAGGCAGAGCTGACCATTGTCGAATCACTGGCACTTCTGCCCTCTGTGTCCCCAGTCACGGAGGAAAGTGGGAATGTAAAAACTTCTGCAAGGTTGCAGGCAGTTGCCCTGCTCCACAGTCTCAGAGGGATTAGGAGGAATTACCCTTGCTCCTCTCCCTGTCCCTGGACCCTCAACGAGCCCATACTTCAAACCAGTGAATGATACTCAGGACACATTTCGGTCAAATAAAGATCGTGTCAATCCAGAAAGTGAGTTAATCAGGTGTTACCTGCTCCTGCAGAAGTGGATTCCTCCTCGGTAGGTCACCCAAAGCCCACCGGGTCCGGCAGGTTGAAAGGGGAGAAAGTGGCAGAACAGCTGCGCTCCGGCATGTTACTGCTTTAAGGATCTCCACCGAGGTCTCTGTTTTCCATAGCTGCCAATGGTCGCCAACACCCAAGGTTTCTCTCAAGGAAAGGAGGAAGGAAATTATCTTCCCAAAGTGCTCTCCAGCCAGTCATTTGACCCTGACACCCACCGATGACACCGAAGAACACCCCGTTGAAGCGGCTAAACGCCTCGTAATTTCCTGTCTTCGCTCCCCCCGGCGGCCCCGGCGCACCGCCGCCGTGCGATCTTATCGCCGTGCGATCGTTATTCACCGGTGACAACCAGAGATGCKGCGCTCCTAAGTGAGGGTGACAGATTTCAAACGCGGGGCTGCAGCGCATCTAGCCTCAGACATATTCTTCCTTAAACTTTGCCGAGCAAGCGAGTCAGCGGCTTAACCCTTTGTAGCTCTTTCTCTCCCCGGGGCACCGAGACCCCAGCAGCGGGGAATGTGATTTGGGGAGAATGCAGGACAGCACGGCTACTTGGCTGGATATTCTTTATCACGTCCCATTTTCTATTCTTGGTTATTTTCACTTGAAACAGATGAGAACTGTCAACTCTGGGGAACAGATGGAGGGCTGGATGCTTTTCTGCGRTTAGGGGCTGGAAAAATCCTCTTGGCAAAGCAGATCGCTGGGGACTCACCTGTGGTCCCTCTTTGTCACGGAGTCAGCAAACTCATCTGCATGGCATGAGTTCCTCTCAAGCACAGGTATACAGAGCCTCTGCACGTTCCTCAGCGTGCTGYGTCTAAAAGTGCAGTTCCAAAACTGCCATTTCACTTGCATCTCCAGATTCAGCTCTTTTACAGGTTATTAACTGCAACAGAGAAAGGAGCAAGTGAGAAAGAAACCTATTTTCAGGAAAGAAAGAAAAAAAGAGAAAAGCCTTTTTCACACATGCACTTTGTAGTCAAAGGAAATATTTACCACCACCAAACTCCAGCATGTCAGAACATGTTTCCTCCTAAGCACAAGAAAGCCTTAAATCWGAGAGGAAAGCATGTGCAATTCAAAGATGAAATGAAGTGCTTGAATGCTTTTCAAAGTCTGTACCACCAGCCCAGAGCCCGATGCCAAAACAGCATCAAGGCAACAGGGAAACAAGATTAACACACTCCATTGGTTGTCTAATATTCGTTTATATATATTTTCAGTGCATTATGATGTTTCTGTCACTTTTCTCTGCACCACCCTCCCCCCTCAAAAAAAAAAAAAAAAAAAAATAGAAAAGAAAAAGGTGGACACGACCTCTGACTACTGCTGGTGTTCCGGGAGCTCCTTCCAGAGCTCCCGTGGTCATGCTATAGGAAGGATGCAGAGGCAGGTAGGTGGGTGTGAATGGGAATTTCAGTGCTTTCTTCATTAAATTTGTAAGATAAGGCTGGACAAGGGAGGAGAAGAATCCTAGTGTAAGGAAAAGGACAGAAAAAAATTATTCTCCTCCCACCACATTTCTAAATTCCGATTGTAAGTACAGTAGAAAACCCTCAGCCCCACTCAAAAACCCCAAACCCCCCCCAAAACCGGACCCTTTCGACATCACATATACCCTTGTCCAGTTTGTAAAGGCAGGCGGCTTGAGTGGGGACCGTGAGTGGCCTGGCCGAGGGAGTTTCTCATGCAGGAGAAGTGATCCGCAGGTGYGCAGCGGGAGCTCCGCGGGCGCGGAGCGGGGCCGCCTGCACGTCCCGCGGCGCGGCCMAGGTGGCAGCAGAGCACAGCGCTAGGAGGAAGGGATGGATGCTCGGCGGCACCGGGGGACACTTCCCCCTTCGSTCCCTGCAGCACTCTCTGTTTAAACTGCTGCACACCCCTTCCCCCTCTTCCCCCTCTCCAYGTAATCTTGGTAATAGTCTGATTACTTGGACTTTAAACAATTTTTCCCCCACCATCACCGCACTATAAATGAGTCAAGGATGTATTTAGTTAKTTATTTATTGTCTGGCCAACCGCTTTGCGTATTTAAAAAGCTGTAAACTGAAAGGAGGATATAGAAATATATTCTCTTTAAATTATCTRTGATCATAGAAGATGGCTAGCCCGGAGTGATGGTCCACTCATCCATAATACAACCTCACTTATTTTATAGAAAATGTAAGATGGAGTAACATTGAGAAATATTATAAAAATGAAAGTGTCTTTTTAATATTTTTTTTTCTTCCAGCTGTATTGTTAGATTGATTTCTGCAGCTTGCAAGACAGAGCGTAAAAGAAAATGGAAATAATTMTGTAACTGGGAGGTTGGTCTAAATCATACTGAATAATCTCAATTTTTGTCAGTAATGTAAAATTTTACTTCAGGCTTTAAATCCATGCAGCTGACAGAAGGGAAATATCACTATGTATATTCTTCCTCAAATTTTGGAAAATCAGCTTATTAAAAAAAGTTTTGAGGAAGGAAAGGGAAAGGAAAAGAAAGAAAAGGGAATGGGGAAGGGAAGGGAAGGGAAGGGAAGGGAAGGGAAGGGAAGGGAAGGGAATTAGGCTGGGAAGCACACATATTCAATATCTGCTTTCTCTGAGCTCTCTCTTTTATGGTGAGCTTAACATGAAAATACCATACCAGTTCTGAAACAAAGTTTGGCAGAGTTTTCTGTATGACTCAAGTAGTTAATTTATACCATTTTGGGGTTTCTGAGTTGGATTTTATTTCTAAATAAAATTAATTAGAAAACTTAGCTATGTCATTAGGCTGTCCTTGTTTGTCATGTTTCTCATCAGTGCTTTCTTTCYTCCCCCTTTCTGTTCAGCCCATTGTTATTTTCTTTTTTAAGCATTGCACATGCTGTTAGGTATCACCTTGTAATTGTACACATAATTCTTTGGATTGATGCATCTCATAGTCTTGACCTAGTGGAGGTCCTCCCTTCTTTACTCCAAGGGATTTCTGCATTCAGCAATTGACAGTTTCATGATAAACTATTTCTATGGATTGCCTTTGGCCATCCTTCACTGTCTGATCCCAAGAGACACAGAAATCTGTAAGTCTTATAGATATTTTTAATTTTTTTCTTTCTAGTTTTTTTTTTTTTTTTTTTTTTTTTTTTTTTTTTTTTTTCAGGGCAGAGGAAGATGTTTCAAGGTTTTCTCTTTGGGCCTGTTTGACAAGTTGATTTCCAATGAAATCAGGATATAAGCTGCTCAAAATCTGTTTATTTTTTTCCCCTTTTCCTTCTAAACATCTAAGAGACTCATGTTAAATTTTGTTAAAATCGAAACAGATCTACCCAGATGCCAGCCAATAGACATACTGGAAATGGAYAAGTAGGTAAGACAGGAAGACTGGACTCCAACATTTTTTTTTTTTATATTTCAAATAATAAAAAGTATACTTTTCTGACCAAGTTTTTTGACCAAAGTAAACTATGAAAAATTGCATTAGCTATTATGTCATCTTATTTTAAGCAAAAAGTCTATAGGGAAGATAAAATTCTATGTATATATTGATGTTTCTCACCTTAGCTTTCATGCTGCACAACAGCTGCACAAATATAGATCAATTCAATGAACAGTTGGTTGAATTTCATAAAATTAAGGTAATTAAAGTGGCTAAATAATAACATAGGAATCCAGCAGTCATTAAACATTGTAATGCATTGTTTCTTTGTGTTTTTGTTYGTTTTTTTCATTTATGGAAAATACAAAGGAAAGTAGAATAATGAGAAAAGCTGAAATCGACACATGGATGAAAAAAATTAATTTATGTTTGACCTAATTACCTATCACAGTGAGAGTAGAAGGCAAGAGTAAAACTTTCTGAATAACATACCAATACCCAACATAGGTTTTTTCTTTCACATTTTCTAACCATCATCATGAAGATCCTTTTCATTGTCATAGACAGCTTTTAAAATAAAGGGATGTCTTCTGTCTCTGGTTCTGTCACTTGCACCTTTATGTTTCTGTAAAAAAACAATCCATGCACTTCTATCAGACAAACTCTTGCTTCACTTTGTAGCTCCAAAACACCTCAATGAAAGTCACACAGCTTTCATTAAGTTGCCCCTTATGCATTCAATGCTCTTCTTTTATCCCAAGTGGAGATGCCTAGAAGGCAGACTATCAATCTGCTGTAGAGAAAGCATCCCTATCTGATCTCAAGGCTATCTACCCTGTCTCCCATGGGAGCTCAAGAGCTCACTCATTCTAATATTCTACTGATTAAAAAAACAGATTTGTTTGTTCTTTTTTATTCACAGGTTCGGCAAGCTTTAATGATGCTTTTGCTTTTATATCTGTCGATTTATGTAACTTTTTTGTATTTTCAATGGGATGGTWACAATTATGACAGAGTGCCTCTAAAAGATAGGAGAGGAGCCAGTTTCTTTCAGCTCAGTAAACATGAATGAACATTAGAATTATGAGACTATATAAAAGTTGGACAGGAGAAAATTATTTTAAAAAAATAACCTGGTCAAAGTCTCTCAATATTATTTAATGAGAGAACATTAAAAAATGCTACAATGGCATAGCTTTAGCTTTATATTTGCTTGATTTCCATGCACCACTTTATGCAAGGCTAGCAAGCTTTGTTCTACTGTATGTCAAGATACTTCAAGCTCTATCTGACCATTGTTAGCCCTCCTTCAATTCCAGTATCAGCTATATATGTGTAATAGGATACAAGGGACAATGCAATTTYTCTGTTGATAACAGATTGGTAACATCATTTAGTAAAGCCTTTTCTGATCCTTTCTGTCTATTTATTTTAGAACATATTGTTGTGAAAAGGATAGGCAAAAAGGAAAATTGGTTTCAATTAGCTGAAGAAGAGGGTATAAGAATGTCATGCTGTCAGGGTCGAGAAGCAGAGGCTGCATGATTACACCTCCGAACTCAGAAATAAATGTGCAGTAATGCTTGCATGTTGGTTCACCRAGAAATCCCCTTTCCAGGGGCTATTACTGGAGGGCAGAAAAACATGTTACCATGGTACAGACTGACTACCTGAAAGAAAAGGAAAAAAAAGAATGACTAGGCAGATGGTATCTGTTTTGAATCCTGATAAATTGGCAGTGAGCTTTCAGGTCTTCAAGAGGATTTTGA